CATTCATACAACAAATGTATAATCCCAGGAATTTCAATTGGCGCTTATATCCACAACTGCTTAGGAATTGGGTTAAGCTTTTTTTTCCCCCCCCCCAGCCCCGAACAATACTCTTACAGGATCTTTAGCACAAGTCGGTCTATAATTAGAGAAACTCTAGCGACATAGTGGCAAGCCAAACATAATTAAATTGACAAAAGAAAGAACAAAGACATAGAACAACTATTGCGCAAACACATCGAGGTATATATTCTCAGAGTGTAAATCAGGTAACCATCTCATTGATGATCAACAAAGATTATAGTCCCTTTCTCAAACCCTAATTGCACATCCTTCTATCGTTTCTGTTATTTTCTCTTTTGGATATAACTTAAACTGGCGCTGGAAGATACATATTTATATAATAGGATTTCTATCTACATAGCCGAAATTGACAAGTTAAAATTTGCTCCCTATTTGATGGTTTATTTTGTCACCAATTGGTCCTACGTGATGGTTTGAAGGTATTTTGTTTGAAAAATTCCGCAGGGACCCAAAATATGGGACCAATAGGTGGGACAAGTGAGGTGTCCCCCTCCTATTGGATAATGACTTAACCATCATTAATGATGACCAACTCATTATCCAATAGGAGGGGGACACATCACTTGTCCCACCTATTGGTCCCATATTTTGGGTCCCTGTAGCAAAGCTCTGGAAAACTTGCATGAGCTTCTCCTATCATACGATGGTTCTTTGTCTCAGCTCTTCTGAGCGCAGCGGTAGATCAGGATCCTTTCGTGACATCGCCGCTTTTAAAAAGTTGATCGATTCCTGTTGTCTTATAGATCTTCCCCTTAGCGGTAGAAAGTTTACATGGTCAAACCAGAGATCTCCCCCTGTTCAAGCAAGGCTTGATAGGTTCTTTGTCTCTTTAGACTTCGAAGCTCACTTCCCCCTCCTTACTCAATACGGTTTTCAGCCTCCATGCTCTGATCACTGTCCCATCATTTTGGACACCACCTCATCCTTTCAACCTCCTCCTTTCAGGTTTGAAAAGTTCTGGCTATCCTTCCCCTCATTTATTCCTTTCATCCAATCTTGTTGGAAATCATTCTCCTCTAATAATGAGCAGCAGATTCCCCTGCCTCTTAAGCTGAAATTCATAAAGAAAAGAATAAAATGGTGGAAAAAAAATCTTCTCTTGGTTCTCTCAATCAAGCTCTCTCTAAAGCCATGACCACCCTAAACTACATCAATTCTATAGAGGAGTCCAGAGTTCTTTCCAACCAAGAATCTCTTCTTAGACTCAAAGTTAAGGAGGATATTCATCATCTTGCTAAGGCAGAAGAAACCAAGTGGAGGCAGAGATCTAGAATTCAATGGTTGAAAGAGGGAGATAATAACACAGCTTTCTTTCATAGAACTACATCATATCATAGGAGGAAAAATTTTATTCCACATCTCCTCATCAATAACACTATTATTTCTTCTGATATTGACATGAAGTCAGCTTTCTTTGACTATTTTTCTGATCTCTTCCGCAAACATCCAGATCCTAGACTGTCCATCAATTGGAGCTCCCTATATCCTGATACCAGCCTAGATCTCTCATCTCTGGACACCCCCTTTTCCCCTCTAGAAATCAAAACCGCTGTTTTTGACCTGCACCCTGAGAAATCCCCAGGTCCAGACGGTCTTCCCCTCCTGTTCTATCAAAAGTTCTGGTCCTCAATTCATCTTGATATTATCTCCTTCATTCAATCCCTCTTTTTCCACCCTTCACTTCTCCACAACATTAACTATTCATACGTCTGTCTCATCCCCAAGAAAGAGGGTGCAAATTCCCCATCTGACTTCAGGCCTATTAGCCTTCTTAACAGCACTTGTAAGATCTTCACAAAAGTTTTGGCTAACAGGCTCAAAATTTTCATCCCTTCCCTTGTTGATAAGTCTCAGGCTGCCTTTCAAAGTGGGAAATCAACACTGGATTCCATTCTCTTGGCTCATGAGATGATAAATTTCTGTTCATCCGGTAAAAAGGAGATATGTGCCATCAAAATTGATTTTTTTAAAGCCTTTGACTGTGTTAACTGGAACTTTTTATTGAATCTCCTCAGAGCTAGAGGTTTCAGTCCTCTGTATCTAGAGAGGGAGCCAGAGTTCTTTCCAACGAAGAATCTCTTCTTAGCATCAAGTTAAGGAGGTATATTCATCATCTTGTCAAGGCAGAAGAAAGCCAAGTGAGGAGCAGAGATCATAGAATCAATGGTTGAAAGAGGGAGATAATAACACAGCTTTCTTTCAAATAGAACTACACATATCATAGGCAGGAAAAATTTTATCTCACATCTCCTCCATCAATAACCACTATTATTTCTTCTGATATTGGAACATGAAGCAGCTTTCTTTGACTATTTTTTCTGATCTCTTCCGCAATACCACAGATACCTAGATCTGCCATCATTGGAGGCCCTCACCTATATCCTATACAGCCTAGATCTCTCATCTCTCGCACACT